TCAGAAACATGAGATAAGAAAGTGCTATCATAGCTCTATCCAGAAAACATGAAAAAAGAGTGTCAAGTAAGGTAAGTGTTCTAAGGCGTACCAGCAATTGACCAGTTGATTAACTGGTGCAACACATGTAATTCTTGATTCTGTGTTCTGTGAGATGTTGATAATAATACCATTACTGATGATAAACCAACCAAAAGAGCCTGATTTAAAAAAAAAAAGAGAAAAGTACTACTTTTAAGCATATCAAGTAGCAACTGAATGTCATTCATTCAACCGGAAGGTAAAGAAATATAATGCACCTGTAAGTAAAAGAGCATGGGGAACCTCGGTTTCTTCCTTTGACAATTACAGATAATTTCCCAGTATTTATTGCCTTCACCATGCAGGTCAAGCCACCTTGCAGCAGAACTTATTAAGATAATGATAGCTCCACTTGCAAGCCTATAAACAAATAAGTTACAGTGCATTTAAGTGATCAAAACTTAAAGTTTCAACACTAAATAAAATTCAATATTGTTTATACCCGGTTTAGTTTTCTTTTCTAGAATCCACAAAAAAACACACACAAGTTTGCCTGATGTATGATAGAAGAGGTAGCAAACACTTATCAATAAGAAAGAATCCTTTCATCTCAATAGCAAACACTTGCAAGCCTATAAACAAATAAGTTACAATGCACTTAAGCGATCAAAACTTAAAGTTTGAACACTAAATAAAATTCAATATTGTTTATACCCGGTTTAGTTTTCTTTTCAAGAATTCGTAAATAAACACACACAAGTATTCCTGATTTATGATAGAAGAGGTAGCAAACACTTATCAACAAGAAGAATTCTTTCATCTCAAAAAAAAAAGGAGAGAGAGAGACAGACAGACAGAAAGCAGTCTTACTCGTGATTGGTGCCAAGAGCTATTTGAGGAAGCAAAACTTATATTTCTAAACCATTTTCTCCAGATGACAGCTATTTGAGGAAAAGAAAAAGGAAAAACAGAAAACTAAACAAAGTCGAACATAAATCTAGACATAGCTGAGAGGACAGAATCAGTGACATACACTAACTGATTGTTGTCAGGAATTTCTGCTGGCATCAAAGTAAACGTGGATAAAAACCAACATGCAATACACACAAAAACAGGTAGCCTAGATCTCCAAGGGATTGAATTGTGGAGATGAATTGAACCTCCGGCTCCCAATATGAGGAAACACCAAGTATAGAGCTTCCTCTCAGTGAAGCTATTGACCTGCAAAAATATCAAAACAGCCAGTTCAGAATGACACACTAAAAGCAAAAGATGTAAGCAACTTATAGTAATATATGTTATTCATACCAGAAATTCCAGAATAAATACTGAGGCAACACCAACAACTAGAAGTTTAACAAAATAGCTCTTCCTTCCACTTAAGTATCTCCATAATGCTTGGATAAACTGAGACTCGCTGAAAATTTGAGTCCAGAGGAAAACTGTCATGGCAACATATGCATGATAAAGGGGAGGAGAATGCTCCACCAATAGAAGAACAGAAAGAACTCCCACCAACAGACATCCGAATAGATACACCTGGGACACATAAAGAAGCATTGCAATGAAGATACCTAAGAAAAGGGATGCTATTTTATAATCACACCAACAGTGAAATTTAAGAGGCAACCAGCCAAAAAGATC